CTCATTTTATTTCATTTCATTTCATCTCATCTCATTTTRCTTTATTTTATCAGTTTAAATAATGCATCGATCGTAGACCTTTGCTAGTCTTGGGTGGGATAAAGCGCTGAACTTGAACAGCAGTTCTATATCTGATATGAATGACTATACAACATCGATTTGCAAAAATGTAATGTGCTTTTTTCCTTTGATAATGAAGAACAAGARGTGCAGGAAGGACAAGAACAAGACGAAGAAGACAACGAAGAACCTCAAGAAGATGTGAAACTAGAGGACATGCCTGCAGGTCAGTACTAAATCTACAGTTTATGATTTTTAAACCTGCAGTAAGTCAGTAAGTATGAAAAAAAATACGTAGTTAAAGACTGCATGTGGCTAGTGCCTTATACTTATAGCAGGATTTTTTTTAATTAAATGCAGTATTTGTAGCGAAAATTGTTTGGTTTTGTCATTAATGAAGCCTTGTCATTGTGGCGTTGTCATTGTCGTTGTCATTTGTTCTTAACAGTTTTGCAAATCCTTAAAAAAACACTTTCTGTAAATTGTGCATATMATTTTCAGCTCTTTTGAGCGTTTWAGCTACATTTTAGAGCCATTTAAAAAGAGAAAACTGTTTGCMGCCGTYTGTCCGCCATTTTGTTCTAATTCACTAACGAGTGGAGAACCGAGTGGAAATACGAGCTTATCCCGAGAAAAACCGAATGGAATACGAGCTATTCCCGAATGACATTATGAAAGAAAGGGCGATGACATTATGGCTAAAGRCTCTTAGGCACTAGCCACAAAAATCTATTTTGTTGCATGAAACATTTTATTGAAAAAAATACTAATACTATTTAAACATTTATTTAGAACTCAAAGACGAAGCAGAGAAGGTAAAGCGGGCATTTCCTCAAATTTCCATAGGAAGTTGCAGGGTTCTGAAGAGATATGGATATTGCAGAAATGCTAGAATTTCGCGTTTCTGTATCAGCACTTGCCGTGAGTATAAACCTTGTCTATGCATATTCCCATCATATTCCCATCCAATAATTTGTCATATTATTTGACATGGATATTGCAAAAGAGCTGGCATATGAGTGTATCCCTTGTTGATTCTATGCATATTCCCATCCAATAATTTGTCATATTATGCTATGATGTCATACAGCATCCAACAATTTCTGAGGTCATCCAACAATTTCTGAGGTCGATTTTTGTAGTTTGGTCAATAAACCTTTTAGAATTCAAAGCGAATAACCGCTGCTTTTTTGACGACAGATTCTCTTGCGCAAAGACCTGACCAAACACAAAGGAGAGCACGAGAAAATATCGCTACGACAATAGCATTGAAAATTTACATTTTTCCTGAGTTGAGAGTAACTGTATATAGCTATTTCAAAAAAGGTTGTCGGACAAAATGGCGAATGTTAATGGTCGAACGGCGATTGCACGACCGAAAGTAGCCATGGGTTTTGCTTGTTTAAAGGCAATAACAACTGATTTGTAATGTAAGATAGTCTGCGGTAAACATTGGCTCCATTTAGTCTCCATTTCTATGTAAGATAAATCAAACAAGTGGAATTTTGTTTGTCAAAACACCGTAACCATAGTCCTTTTCGGTCGTGCAATCTCCCTTCGACAATCGCCGTTCGCCGTTCTCTCCGTCAACGTTTTTTGGAATAGCTGTATTTCCATAAGACCTAAGGTATGAGCCTTCTGGGGAAGACAGGGGGTAAGCCTGAACTCGGGGAAAAAGTAAATTGTTATCGCCTATTATACTATGCTAAATTAAATGCTAATTCAACACCGTAAAAAAGTATGTGGAAAAACTTACTGACGTTTCGGATGTTAATCCTCCGACGAAGGATTAACATCCAAAACGTCAGTAAGTTTTTCGGAGGATTAACATCCGAAACGTCAGTAAGTTTTTCCACATACTTTTTTACGGTGTTAAATTTATCTTTTTACATAACTGTTTCTTTAGAAACATCGACGCAGCTCACACTAGTTTACCGCTAGTTCCCACCATTTTACTAAATGCTAATTCCATTGTTTTGTATTGGTGATTTAGTTAACACTAATCATGCAGAGTATTGTACACTTTTGGCGCTTGTACTGTATTGGTTATTCTAAATTAGTGCCAGTCCCTTGCTTGTAGTACCTGGCCGTCAGTCTTCACTCTTCCTAGTGCCAGTTCCTTGGTTGTGGTGCCCAGTCTTCACTCCTTCCTTAAACACAATTATCTGCAAAATGCTTAATATTCTATATGAAATGTTTTTAGGACCATGCCGTGACCTGTTTTCKTGGAGGAGCTGCCTTCATGTGAAAACATACAGGCAATGTCATCTAAGCACTGGGCGCTTTTATTGTCGTAAGACATGCGGACATTGTGGTCAAAAACCATGTAAGTCATTTATGTATAAAAAGTTTAAAATATTAGCTGGAGACTTTATATTACTTTTTACTTAACATCCAAAGTCGTATGTAAAAGCAGGACAAATCGTTTGCTCATATAAAGATAGGGTCACAGCAATGATTTTCCATTGTGTATATCTAATGAATTATTTAAGAATTATTAATGAATTTGGTGATGAATTTATTAATTATTCATTAATAATAGTGCATATGATTCATATATTTTTTTGCATAACTATTTTTAATGATATCTTTGACATAGCTAATTCAACGCGATCTCTATCTCGAGTAGTAATAATTATCAATTATCTTCATTATCATAATTAATGGATAAACATGATTGATCTGTATTTTCATCATTTCTAGTACCTATTCAGTGCAAACGTTATGCCRTAATCAATGATTACACACGAAGGCAAAGCTATTATAACCGCAACGCGCCAAGGAAGTGTGACAGCAACTTGGTAGTGCGATGGTATCGCTTCCTTGGTGCACAAGGAACTAATCTCCCGACCAAGTATGTGCGAGTTTTTTCAGACCTCACGATTCTTTCACACGTAGCCAGATATTTTTCAACCGCATATTCCACAGGCGGCCCATGCTAGTGATTATGTGTTACAAACATTATATACAGAACCTTGTACATCAATATGTGCTATAAATAGAAAAAGGAAATATTTGTTCTTCATAAGCTACAATCGATAAGCTTGGGCTGCATTCATCCTGTA